CTTTGGTCCTTTTTTTTTTTTTTTTTTTTTTTTTTACTTTCCTTTTCCCTTTTAAACTCGAAAATTTATATCATATATATTACATCACTTCCACTATTTTTTTTGCGCCGTTTTTTATTATTATTTCATACCTACCTACCTGAATACCCTTACAAACAAAAAAAAAAAAAAAAGGTAGACTAAATAAAATACGCAAAATCTTTTTCCCAGCTTTTTGTTTTTTCACAATCTCCTCACCCATCACTCTCTTCACATCTCGAAACCTTACAAGAAGCTTAAATCTCATTTGATAAAAAATAAAGAACAATGTATCTTTTGCCGACCGAACTTTTACATTGCATTTTTTCTCTCCTTGGAAAAGACCAAAAATCTCTGTCTCGTATATCGATAGTATGTCGTAAATGGCGTGCTATCGCTTTACCGATACTATTTCATAAACCACAATTTTCTAATGTTCGTAACTTTCAAACGTTCCTTAAGATTCCTACTAGTTCGGGAATTTTAGTCCGTGAAATCGATTTAACGGGTTTATCACACAGATGGACGGAGATCATCGATGCTGACATTATAGCTTTAGTTAATTTATGTCCAAATTTAACAATCCTTGACATAAGTTATTGTCATCAACTTCATGATTCAACACTCACTCATATAGCAAATCATTTAGGCTCAAATCTTACCACTCTTAACGTTTCATCATGCCCCAAATTTACTGATGTGGGATTCTCTGCTTTGGCTCGTTCTTGTAAAGTGTTAACTTCTTTGGACTTTTCTTATACTGATATAACTGACACAGCCTTATCAAAATTCGCTGTAACTTGTCCTACTATAAAATGGTTGAATCTAAAGTATTGTGAATTATTAACGGATTTAAGTTTAGATGAATTGAAGAGAATGTGTAAGGAATTAAGATTTTTAGAAATAGAAGGTTGTTATGGTGTTTTGAGAGAGATTGGTGAAGGTGATGTCTTTTATTATGATGATGATATTTGGGTAACTGAGGAAGAAACCGATGAGGATGATGATGATATCGATGATGAGTTATGATAAAAAATTTGTTCGGACTGGGGATTTGGTCAA